AATAAGACTTTTTAATAAACGGTACTGGAAGAACTGGGTAGCCAATTGGAAAAAGGAAAACCCAGATGAATACCTGATAGCACACACCAGGATAAACTCTAAATGGATTAAAAAAAAAACCACATGAAACCCTATAAAAACTAAACCTTGTAAGAAGACACTGGTGAAACTTGGAGTGGGGAGGCTTTCTGACCAGGACGCCAAAGATAAAAAACTGGTAAATCTGACTACATACAAATAAAAACCTCCGATTCTGCATGGCTTTAGAAAGGAAACAACTACTGTAGACAATGTCAAAACACAAATTAAAACTTGAAAAAAATCTGCGACTCATTTCACAGAGGGTTCACCTTTCCAATGAATAAATAAAGCCTAAAAGGAAGAGAACCCCATAAAAAAATGTGGAAAGGATATGAACAGACAGTTCCCAGATACATACACACAGCCTTTAAACATATGAAAGCCTATGCAGCATCACTCATAAAAAGGGATGTAAATTAAATCTACACTGAGATACCAATTCCCATTTAACCCTTCCACAAAAAATCAAATATTCAACGCTATACTCTTGACAGTGAGGTTCTGGGAGAAAAGGCACTCTTGTACATTGCTGGTAGGAGTACACGTACTTACCCTTTGGGCAATGCCACTTGTAGGAAATCTACTTTAGAGATACTCCTGCATAAGTACAAAACGACACAAAAAATTATTCATCACTGTAATGTTAGTTAACGGCAAATAACTGGAAACAACCCAAATGTCCAACAACGGACTGAATCAACTATGGTACATACACACAATGGCATATTATTTATATTATTTTATACGTATACATATATATGTATATATACACATATATATATATAAAATGATGAAGCAGGGTGGTCTCCAGGGTACAACACGAACCTTGAAAACATAATGCTAAGTAGAATAATCCAGACACAAAAGGACAAATGTTGTATGATCCCACACATATGAAGTATCTGGAAGAGTTAAATGCATAGAGACAGAAGTTGATTAGTGGTTACCATGGGCTAAGGGGCAGGAGGATGGGGACCTACTGCTTAACGGGTACAGAGTTTCTATTCTGGGTGATGAAAAAAATGTTGGGAACAAATAGTGGTGATGAGTGTAACTAACACCACCGAACTGGACACTTGAAAATGGTTAAAATGGCAAATTCTACGTTATCTGTATTTTACCACAATTTATTTAAAAAAAAAAAAAAGTAGAGGGGAGCTCCAGGACACGTTAAGTGAAGAAAGTGAGGTACACAGAAGTGTATATGGTACATTACCTTTTATTTAAGGAGGGTGAGGAATAGGAAAGATAAATATACACTATTGGCCAAACAACCTACTTGAAAGATAAACAAGAAACTAACAAAAACCAAGAAGCTCACATGGGGCAAAGAAGAATGGGATGGGGGGCAGGATGAGATGAAATGAGATGGCCCTGAGATGTATTTTTGACTTCAGAATCTACAAATGCATTGCTTACTCTTAAAAAATCAAATTCCTATTTAAAAAGCAGTCCCTTAACTTGAAAACATATTGAAACAAATGAAGCCAACTGTATGTTACCTTGGTAACATAATCCCTCAAAGAAAGGATTTATTTCAAATGACTGCAGAACAGAACTTGGACTGCACTCTTTAGTGGGATGCATTCTAAGGACAAAAAAAGCTTTAAAGACCTTTTTAACATGATTCAGTATTTTTACGGTCCTTACTAACGCTGTTAGTTACTGTCAAGTCAGTTCCAACTCATGGCGATCACATGTGCGTGCAGAGTAGAATTGCTCCACAGGGTTTTAAAGGCTGTGACCTTCCAGAAGCAGGTCACCAGGCCTGTCTCTTAAGGGGCCTTGGAGTAGGTTCAAACCAACAACCTTCCGCTAGTAGTTTTGTGCTTAAACATCTGCAACACCCAGGCAGACTTCTACTAATACTAGTATTGTTATTTTGAAACCATTTTCTTCATAGGGTATGATAAAGCAAAGCAAATAAGTACTGACGTTAGTTTGCTTTAAGATTTTTAGTATAAAATACAATTAAGATCTAAGAAATTATGTAAAAATACTGTGCCATTTAAATTGGAAATACTAATATGAAGTCATAATTTTTTTAAATATTAGGTCTGCCACTGAAATGGCCTCAGAACAACGTTACCCCTGGAGCAATGAGAACACTTGGCACCCATATCTTGGCCAATTCCAGATCTGGGAGGGAAGGTACAAGGTAAGGATAAAGTGTAAGGAAGCTTTCAGAGATAAGTGATGGCAAGTCAAAAGGAGACAGCATCAGGCTTGAAGGAATGTGCACTGGCTAACACTGTGATAATATGAGCATCAGAAAGACAACTTAAAAAAGAAAAAGCCAGGGAAAACTTGACACAATTCAAGATATGAAATAAACTTAGAAGGAATAAAAAACTAGAAAATCATCACTTTGCAAGTCCTGAAAAAATTACTAATTTGGCCGAGGATTATCTACTGATGTTAAAAACCAAAACCAAACCAAACCTATTGCCATCGAGTCGATTCCGACTCACGGCGACCCTACAGGACAGAGCAGAACTGTCCCACAGGGTTTCCAAGCCTGCAGTCTTTACGGAAGCAGACTGCCACATCTTTCTTCTGTGAAGTGGCTGATGGATTCAAACCGCCAATCTTTCTGTTAGCAGTGGAGCGCTTAACCACTGCTCCACTTATTGGTGTTAAAACCATCCCTTGATTAACAACAAAAAGACAAACAACCTAATCAAATACCAGGAAAAGGACTTGAACAGACATTTCACCATTAACTCCTTCATCTGCACAACCGACCTATGAGTCAGATACAATTATTAACTCTGTATGTACTAAGAGATAAGAAATTGAGATAGAAGGTTTAAATATCTGCCTAAGATTACCAGGTACAAAGTGGCAGAGCTAACACAGGCAGTTTAGCTTTTAAAAAAAAAAAAACACATACAACGTTATTCACCTTTGCCCTACCTACCCCAATACCCTATGCCCAACAGAGATAGCCACTTTTATGAGTTCTTGTATATCTTTTGAGTTTATAATGGAAATACAGATAAATATTCTTATTTCCCTCCCTTACTGCAAATGAAATATCCCCTACAAACCATTCTAGATAGCTTGTTTTTTCCACTTACATTTTTGAGGTTCTTATGGTGCCAGTAAAGTTTCCTCCTCATTCTTTTGTACAGCTGAGTATTACTCTGTTGTATAGCTGCACCATAATTTTATCAAGCCAGTCTCCTGATGGGCATGAATTGATTCTAGTCTTTTCCTATGCCAAACAATGCTGCAACGAGCAACCTCATTCATACCTGTATCACTTCGTGCATGTGCAAGTACATCTGTAGAATAAATTCCCAGATGTAGGATCCAAAAAAACCAAACCAGCTGCTGTCAAGTCGATTCTGACTCATAGCGAACTGCCCCATAGGGTTTCCAAGGAGCAGCTGGTGGACTCAAACTGCCGACCTTTATGGTAAGCAGCCACAGCTCTTAACCACTGCGCCACCAAGGCTCCAGATGTGGGATGGCTGGGTCAAAAATATTTAGTTATCATAGATACTGGAAAATTGCCCTTCATAGGCTTTGTTCATACCAGTACCATAACTATTTTAATTTTTGAGGCTTTATATTTAAAAAATGTTCTGGCTAGGTTTCCCCCTCCCTACACCCCAATTGCTTTTCTTTTTCAGAATTTTGCTGGCTATTCCAAGTTGTCTATTTTACCGTATGAAAATCAGTATGTCTAATTCCAGAAGAAAAAAAACCTGTAGATATTTTTACTAAAATCACATTAAATTAATAAATTTACTTAAGTCTGAACACAATTCTTTGATGGCTTCCTATTGAAAAAATGGTGTATTTGTTAATTCATGTCTTGTGTTATGTTCCTTAGCAATATTTTAAAGTTCTTTCCTGATAGTTTTGCACATTTCTTAAGTTTATTCCTCAACATTTTATTTTTGTTGCTATCGTAGCAGTTTTTTTCTATTAAGACTTTTAACTGGTCGTTTGTGTGTTTGAAGGCTTTTGGTGTCTATATGTTAATTTGGTACTCCATTTATTTACTGAACTTTCTTATTATTTAAAATTATGTGAAGGATGACTGTGGGTGAATTCCTTAGAAAAAGCATCTTTGCAGACAGAAGTAATTTTCTCCATTACTTCACAAAATCCATGTGGCCTGGGAACACCTCCACTCAATTAGGAGTTAGGACTCCTAGAATCTTTCCAGACTCGTGGATAAACATTGCAACAATTAAGATTTCTTCAGAAAATGAGGTAACTGTGCGTGACCTTCTAGAACCCCAAAATCTTACCTCCCAAATCCTGGGTTTTCTGCACTTTGACACTGTTTCTCTAAGAGTAAAGCTAATATTTATCTAGGATTTCGCTCAGCAGCCTTATTAAAATACCCCAAACATCAGGGATTTGAGACAGACTGAAGCAGGCATCTTAGAACAAAAAGTTCCTTTAAACTATTCTTGCTTGTTTAAAAAAATAAATCACGGTTATTTGCATTCTATCCCCATTAAAAATAAATGCGTTTTTATATAAAAATCGGTTTCTAAAGTATTTACCACTTAGCTTTTTTTTTCCCCCCTTCAAACCTTCAAGTAAAACAGATGCTCCAGGAAGATGGACCGTTACAAATACCAACACTTTCGGCAAGGAAAGTGAGGCTGAGATGTTATTACCTCAGTGCTTGTCTCCCACATCTCCCTCTTACGCGCAGCCACACACAATTCTGCACCCACAGTCTCTCAATTTACTCATCAACCCCGAACATCCGGTCAAACTTGTAGAAGAACTCAGGGTCACGCACGCTGGATCCTCCTCAGAGGCCTCCTTCGCCCCACACACAGGCCCGAGACTCTTAAACCCACCCTCAATCCCGCGCCGCGCCCCCCCAGATCGGGAATCCTCCCCTTCAGCGTCCCCGGCCCGGCCGGCCCAAGACGCCCAGGTCCCACCTCCTACTTTCGCGCCACGTGGACCCAGGGGCCGGACTGACCCGCGGACAAAGACCAAAACGTCCACTCGCTGCGCTGCGCTTGCGCACTCCGAACGGGAGCGAGTACTCCCAGAAGTCTCCGCGACGCGGCATTGCTCTGTCACCTTGGCCAAGCCCAGGCTGGTATTTGATTCTATTGCCGGCGACGCCACTTTTACGGCCTTGGACTACATTTCCCATAAGGCTTTCCTGGTCAACTGTTTCTTGGCTACCCTTTCCCGAGATTATGTGGCTCTCGGGATGAGTAGGCCTTCCTTGGAAGAAGATCATCTCAAGCCTGGTAATAGGTTTGGAGTGGGAACACTCTCTGAAGCCTCCTGGGGCGCGGTGTCAAACGGGCCAAGCCCAGACTTCAAAGTGAGGGGACACCATCTTGTCCGTGTCTGGTCGGGCCCTGGACTACGTTTCCCAGAGTCCACAGCGGCCCGACGACCCTCCTCTTGACGTCGTGGCGCGATCGTTAGCTTCGCGGATACCCGGACGCGACCAAGAGAAGTCAGAAGGTGAGGGGTCTGGGAGTCCGGGGCGGGGACGGGGCGTGTCTGGAGCCTCCATCTGAGCGCGCAGGCGGGAGCGGTCTGAGAATGCGCGATTCTGATTGTGTGTGCGTGGTTGTGTCTGTGCGACTGGGTATGGGTGCCTGTGAAGGTCCCGTTCTGACCGCCTGTCTACAGGACGTGTTTGTGTGGTTGCATTTGTGTAGCTGTGTGTGGTACTGTGTTTGTGAATGTGCGGCCCTTGTGACTTTGGAGCTGATCCTACGTGTGTCCCTGTTGTGGATGTGCCTGTACGCCTTGTCTCTTGGGATGCGAGTGTAGTTGTTGTGTGACCGGTGTGGGTGCCTGTGCAGCTGTGATCGCGTGTCTCCAGGGTAGGTGTGTGCTTGCGGTGTATGATGTCTGTGATTTTGTGTACTTCTGTGTGCAGTTGTCGTGTGTCTCTGACTGCATGTGACGCTGCGTGTGGTTTCAAACCACCGACCTTTCGATTAGCAGTCAGTCGCTTTAACCACTGCGCTACCAGGGCTGGTTTCTTGCCTAACAGAGACCCTCAAAGTTACCTGGTCTCCAGTATTTGCCATTGGAGTAAATTACCGAGTGCTCTGGAGATGGACTGAAAAGCTCCTATCCTCCCTGTTCCCCACCTAATGTTTATTTTTGTTTAATTTTTGATTTTCATTTTTCAGTTCATTTCAGACATTAAAATTTTGCAAAAATAGAGTTTCCATACACCCTTCACCCAGCTTCCCCATATGTTACCATCTTAATCACAGTACAATGATCAAAACCAGGAAAGTAACATTGATATAGTACTACTAACTAATCTACAGACCTTATTTAAATTCCATCAGTGTCCCCTAATGCCCTTTTTCTAGGCCAGGGTCCCATCCAGGATCACAGGTTGGACAGCCTTCTTAGTCTCCTTTCATCTGGCACAGTTCTCAACCTTCTTTGTCTTTTACGACAATATTAGTTTCCTGAGGCTGCTGTAACAAATTACCATGAACTTAGTGGTTTAAAACAACAGAAATCTATTCTCTAACAGTTCTGGAGGTCAGAAGTCCAAAATCAAGGTTGTAAAAATGGCGTGGAGACAGTGTCTGACCTCCTTTAACTTCACAAGGGGGAAGGAGAATCAAGATCAACAGCCCAAGGCTGATTTTCATGAGGCCGAGTCAGACATGCCTCCTCTCTCCGCCATCTTTACCAATTCTGACACCAACCGTCCCTCCCACGTCACTGTCTCCTTCTCTGCTGAGTTTGAGAATTCGTTGCAATGGTCACACAACTCACAGACCATACTCAACGATGACGGGGTTACAATCCCGGCTCAGGAACAGTCAGGATATCGTCCTTCCATCTGGACAGCCTCTTTTCAGCTGTGCTCGCAGGCATACCTCTCTATGGCTCTCAGCCTGTGCTCTGCTCCGGCAAGTGTTACAAAGCTCTTTTAGCCCCTGCCTATCAGTCCCCAGAGGCACCCCCGGCACTCACTGTGCGGTCTCCTGCCGGTCTCTCCTGCCACTACTTCTCACCGTCTTCAGGGTTACAGCTTGCTCTCTCTTTTGTCTCCTGTTTCCAGAAACTTTACAGCGCAGGGATCCTGGGTCCAAAGGCTGCGCCCTCTGCTCCTGGCTGTTCTTCCTTGGTGGTAAGATTCTCCTTCGCTCCTCTGGGGTGGCTCATTTCAAGCCCAGTGGGATGGCAAAACTGACACATCCCCTTGGTGGGCCGAAATTACCCTATTTGCACAGTCCCACCCAGTGACTTGGGTGGGAATTACAAGACCATGGCGAGAAAGGCCACACAAAAGTGATCCATTGCACCGCAAGGTGTTCACAGGACTGTGCTCACTCTGAGGGCTCTAGGGGAGAATCCACTCCTTGTTTCTTCCAGCTTCTGGAGGCTGTGGGTATGTGACTGTGTGCTGTGTCTCTTGTGCCCAGCATACCTGGGCTCGTGGCCCTATTGCTTCAATCTCTACCTCCATCTTCACATCATCTTCTCTCGGTGTGTTATGTCCCTTCACCTCTCTCCTATAAGGACACTTATGATGGTATTTAGGGCCCTGCTGGATAATCCAGAGTAATCTCAAAATCCTTAACTTAATTACATCTGCAAGTACCCTTTTCCCAAATAAGGTGACACAACGTCCAGGGATTTGGACTTAGTATCTTTGGCCATTATTCAGCCTACAATGACCTTGACACTTTTGAAGAGTCCTGGCCATTTATTTTGTAGCTTCCTCAACGTAGAGTGTTTGGGGTCATCTCATGCTTCCTCGTCATGAAGTCAGGTTACACATTTGGGACAAGACTGTCACAGAAGTGATGTGGCCTTCTCAGTGCATCATATCAAGGGACCCATGAGGTCAGTTTGTTTCATTACTGGTGTTGTTAAGTTTAATTTCTTAGTTGAGGTGGCATCTGCCAGGTTTTTCCACTGCAAAGTTACTATTTTTGTCTTTGTAATAAATATCTGAGAAGAAATACTTTAAGCCTATGTAAATATCCTGTGTGTCATCCTACTTTCACTGAATAATCTTAGCATCCCTTGATGATTCTTGCCTGAAAAAGTCTGCCAAATGACTGTTTTTTGTTTCTGCAATTCCTTCTACATTTATTTATTAGAATACTATTGTAAGGAAGAAATTTTCCTTCTCCCCATTTGTTTATTATTTATATGAGTTTTGACTGGATTTTTTTTTTTTTATTCTATGGGTTATAATCCATTACTATCATCTACTTTATTACTCAAATCATCCCACGTTTGGCCATTGGGGGCCCCCTTGAGTTGACTTTTATGTCCTTTCAACATGTTCCCTTTGTTTCTTCTAGTACTTCCTTATTTTCTGGCTCCACAAGATGTTCCAGGCTGACATTATGCTTTTCCTGCCCCAGTCCTAGAATCAGCCACTTTCCCAGGGAGCACTGGTTCCTTTTATTAGAAAATGATGTTTGGAAACCGAGATTCAGTGTGCTCATCACTACTGGGATGTCATTGTTTCTAGGCCTTCTCATCTACAAAGTATTTGTATCTGTATATATAACCAAACCCCTTGCAGTCAAGTCAATTCTGACTCATAGCAACCCTATAAGACAGAGTAGAACTGCCCCATAGGGTTTCCAAGGAGTGGCTGATGGATTCGAACTGCTGACCTTTTGGTTAGCAGCTGAGCTGTTAACTGCTGTGCCACCAAGGCTCCTCTGTATATATTAAAAAAACACACTACCATTGAGTCCATTCCGACTCATAGTTACCCCATAGGTTTCCAGGGCTGTAAATCTCTATGGAAGCAGACCGCCACATCTTTATCCCACGGAGCCACTGGTGGCTTTGAACTGCTGACACATCAGTTAGCAGTCGATCCCTTTAACTACTGCACCAACAGGGCTTCTTCTTTGTATATGGAGGGGTATCTATATCTGTGTTGAGTCTTTGGACTCAAACATGCTGTTGATTGTGAGGATGGTGCAGGACCGGGCAGCATTTCATTCTGTTGTATATAAGGTCACCATGAGTCAGGGTCAACCAGTGGCAGCTAACAACATATACGCACAAATCTAAATGTAACTGTATATATACACGTATACAGATAAGCCCTGAGTTCATACCAATATATCCAGTTCCAGTACAACACAACAGGGTTCATTCTAGCCTTCTCCATTTCCTTTTTTGTAGCTCCTCCCTGTGACAGAAACTTGGCTGTCATTACCTACGGTGTTGATTTGTTTTATTTGCTCAGTCCTGTGTATAGTTTCAGATTCGCTAACCCCTACTCCCATACCCACACGATTCTTTACGGTTCTTTACATCTTTAGTCTCACAGTATACAGTGACAACACAGTTGCCCAAAGCTACTCTCTTCCCTACCACCTGTGTAGTTATTCATCTGTAATACAGGTAGAGTCATTTGTTACTGTTCCTATTTCATTTTGGTTCTCTCCACATCCTGGTTGATATAAATTATTTTTTAGTATGTTGAACATTAACATGGTTCTAAAAGTCAAAACTAGACAAAAATCAACTCAGTCTCTCCCCCATCATCTCTTCTCTCCCCTTCCCCCATTCCTTCCACCCTGTTCCCACCCACCCATTGTAGATAACCAGTCTCGTTCATTTTTGTTTTATCCTTCCTATATCTGTGTGGGTTTTTTTTGTTGTTGTTGTTTTCAAATGAGCAAGATAGGTATGTATCTGCTTATTTCTTCCATGAAAAGTTGCGTATTCTGTATACTTCTTTGTCCTTTGCTCTTTAGAGTTCACAGTGTATCCCAGAAATCACTCCATGTCAGTTCATAGAGATCTCCATCATTCCTTCTTATAGCTGCACAGGATTGTGTAGAGGTACCATAATTTATTCAACCATCTCCTATATGTGGGCATTTAAGTTGCCTCCAATATTTTCCAGTGTTTCCAGTGTAGCCAGACAAGGCTACGATGGGTAACCTTACGTACATGTATTTTCATATTGTTGGGGATATATTTTCAGAATAAATTCATAGACATGGGATTGCTGGGTCAAAAGTAAAACATGTATGTATAGTTTTGTTCTTGTTGTTGTTAGCTGCTTTGAGTCAGCCCCTTACGCATGGATACCCCATGCACAATAGGATGGGACCGTTGTGATCCATAGGGTTCCCCCCTCTTATTTTTTTTATTGTGCAAACACACCAAAACATCTGCGAACACAATTTCCACATTGACAACTCAGTGACATTGATTACATTTTTCATGTTGTGCCACTATGCTTGCTATCCTCATCGAAAATATTCCACCACCGTTAACATAATCTTAATGCCCTCCAAACAAAAACTCCCCCCCACCCTTGGTAACCATTAATAATCCTTGGTTTCTACATATTTGCTTATTTCATGCAAGTGACATCATACAGTGTTTGTCCTTTCGCGACTGACTTATTTTGCTCAGCATAATGTTTTCAAGGTCATCCATGAAGTGGCGTGTATCAGAACTTCATTTCTTTTCTCGGCTGCGTAATACTCCGTTGTACGTATATATCACATTTTGCTTATCCGTTCATCGACTGGTGGACATTTTGGTTGTCTCCACCTTTCGGCTACAGTGAAAAGTACTGCAGTGAACGTTGGTGTAAAGGTTTCTGTTTGCATTTCTGCCTTCACTTCTTCTGGGTGTATACATAGAATCAGGATTGCTGGGTCATTTGGTACTTCTGTGTTCACCTTTCTGAGGAACCACCAAACTGTTTCCCACAGTGACTGCCCCATTTTACATTCCAGCCAGCAGTGGACGACGGTTCCAGCGTCTCCACGGTGGCCCCTGCGCAGCGGTATGCGATACCCTGGCTCACGTGGCACTGCATTGCACATATCTGCCATCTTCACAGTCTGGGTAGATGAACAAGGTCATAGCCTGTGCCTGGCTTTTAGGAGTATGTAAAAACGGTGTGGGAACAGTGTCTGACCTCCTCCAACTTCACGAGGGGAAGGAGAATCAAGATCAACAGCCCAAGGCTGATTCCTGTGAGGCGGAGTCAGACATGCCTCCTCTCTCCTCCGTCTTTACCAATTCTGACACCAACCGTCGCTCCCACAGCACTCTCTGCCGGGTTTGAGAATTCATTGCAATGGCCACACAGAACTCACAGACCATACTCACAATTATGGGGTTTATTAGGAAAGTAACAGTTAAACAATTCAGGCTCAGGAACACTCAGGATACAGTCCTTCCATCAGGACAGCCTCTCTCCAGCTGTGCTTGCAGGCACGCCTCTCCCTGGCCCTCGATCTGTGCCCAAAGGCACTTAGCTTTCTCTCTGTGGGCAGGGAAGTACACCATGCTGTCTCCTGCTGCCGGGTCTCTGCTGCTGGTCTCTCCTTCCTTGGCGGTGAGCTCCTTCTGTCTGCTCTGGAATTGACTCTCTTTTAAGGCAAAACTAACCAATCCCCTTGGTAGGCCACAGTTACCCTATCACACAGTCACATGGGTGGGGGTCACAAGACCATGGCTAGAAAGGCCACACACAAAAGTAATTAATCACACCGCAGAATGAGAATATAATTGGGGACCTATGACAGAGATCTGGATTCACTAGACTGGGATATTGCCAGAGAGCCCAAGAGTAAAATTTTGTTTCACTAGCCATATGGGATTTTATTTTGGGCACTTGAGTTTTTGCGTAGTTAGTCCTAAATTTGTTTCAGGCCAAATGCTCATTCTTTTGAGAAATCAGAAACAATTAAAGAATGGAGCTAGTAGTACTTGATGTTTATAAATGAGAAGATTAACCTGGTATTCCAGTGGTTTATACAGCAGGGGAGCCCTGGTGGCACAGTGGTTAAGAGCTTGGCTGCTAACCACAGGGTCGGCAGTTCAAATCCACCAGCTGCTCCTTGGAACCCCTATGGGGCAATTCTGCTCTGTCCTGTGGGGTCGCTATGAGTCGGAATCAACTCAACAGCAACAGGTTTGGTTTGTTTTTTATACAGCAGGGTTTTAAACAAGGTCCTGAATCCCACATTTAGACTTCAAGGCTCTGCAGACTCCATGAAGTTTAATGCACATGTTTTGCAGAGATTTATCCATCTGAATTTTTTTTTCCTGAGAAGAAGGTTTATGATTTCATGAGATTTGCAGAGGTTCATGACCCCAGGATTTAGAACCACAGATCTAGAATGAAAGACAATAATACCTGGTAACAGCCTTTAAGATATTGCCCAAAATTTGTGCCCAACAATAGTGAAACAGAAGAGGAATGGTCCATCATATATTGTAGTTATATAACAGATTATGCAGCGAATAAAATGCATGCTTTACAGAGAGTTAATCAGAATACTGCAAATCCTTTTGCTCCAATGATGCAACTTTCAAAATGAACAAAAAGTGCTCAGAATTTTTGCAAAGATTCTTCTATCCAAAAAGAATTCAACTAGTCATTGAATGGAAAAGAAGGAATTCACATTTATTTGAAACTTGCTGTGTGCCTAACATTATGCTCTCTGCTTTGCATACACTGTCTTATTTAATATGGAAATTCCACGTACTTGAAAATTGGTCATTCACAAAATGTTTTTGATGATGAAGCGATCCCAGTGCCCCAGAGAATATGAGTCCACATTTAAAGGACTGTCAAAGAACTTATGGTTGTCATTTGTTTCAGTCACACAAATTCCCGTTTTTGTCCCCATTCATGTCATAGACATTGTCTTAATGGCTCACAGTTGTCCTACTGCCCGGTAAATACCAGCCGGACCTCTGGTTATGTTTAGATGAGAACAGTATGGGTATGGTTTCTATTACGAAATTTATATAGGCTTGATACAAATATCTAGAAACTTGCTGGAAATGTAACTCCTCCATCTAGAGAGAAATCCTATTAGTATTTTGATGGATACATTTCAAATATATTTCTGTGGTGTTAGTATGAGAGGTTTTTTCGAGTGGTATCTCTTTATATGAATTGACTCGACAGCACACAACAAGAACAACATCACTTTTATATATGCTGCCTGGGTGGCACAAATGATTAAGTGATTGGCTGCTAACCAAGAGGCTAGTGGTTCAAGTCTACCCAGAGGAGCCTCGGAAGAAAAGCCTGGCAATCTGCTTCCGAAACATCAGCCATTGAGAACCCTATAGAGCACAGTTCTACTCTATTACCACTTTTACATAAATTCTGTAACCTGCCTTCCTCATTTGATAATACTTTATTGAATAGTCCTTGTCTATGGTGCTATTATGGTTTCAAATCACTATATAGTATTCCATCATCAAGATGTACCTTAATTTATTCATTTTATTGCCTACTATTTATATTTCCACTTGTTAGTTGTGAAATAGTCCCCAAAATATTCTTGTACGTGCAACTCTTTTTTACAGTGAATTCCTTAGGATAAAGACCTAGAAAATGAATCTTTGGGTCAGCTGTTAGACATTTATTAAGAATTTGCAAATATGCAAAATCCTAACCTAGTATTTGGGGAGACAAATTGCTTTTAAAAAAGTTACAGCTTTTAAAATTCATTTTTAATCTATTTTTAACTTGCAAATAGTATAATAGGGGTGGTAAAACTTGTGTACTGGGCCATAAAGAGCACTAGTTTGCCCTGTTGATTTGCTGTGAGAATTCATAAGAGGGAGGTGCTTGTATGACCAGAGCAGCCACCATCATGTCATGTCTAAGACTGATCCCCTAAGAATCCTATGGAGGTGAATTAGTTTCCTTGGGTCACCTGTATTCCCTGCAGGTTTTCATCTAGTCATCAGAAATCCAAAGTATGACCAGTGGAGCAACATGATTCTGCAGCTGTTCAGAGTACGATGGAGCAAACAGGGCAAGTGCAGAAACAGTGAACACATCTGGCAAGAAGGGATGAAAGGAAGCATCACTAACATATGACATGGTCCTAATGTATGACATGGCCCAAATGACTCTTAGTTGTTTTTTTTCAGGCAAAACTCCAACACACAGGACTATAGTTAGAAAATCAGGAAATTTGCAACTGTTGGGAGCTGAATAAGCAAAATCAACAAAAGCCATTTGTGAAAATACAGCTGTTTAGAATATTGTTAGAAGATTGTTTAAAAAAGTAAGTCTTTTTTATCTATGATTTGAGAGTGGCTTACATTTAACAGACTTTGAAAATAAACATTAAAAATCAGTGCATGATCATTGAAAATAAAAAAGGAAATACACCTAGTAAAGAATAAGAAAATTTAAGATCACAACCCAGAGGTAACTAAAATAATCTTTAGGAATAAAACTCAGACATTTTCCTTCTGATTTTGTCTGTCTATATTGATATATGCATATATTTTACAAATAGGACCACATGATGCCTTTCCTGTTTTAAAACCTGCTTGTTTGTACTAACCATATCTTGAGCATTTTCTATGTCGTTAACATTACTGCTTAATAACGTTGCTACTTAATTTGTGAGTACTCAGAATTCTTGTTATATAGAAACCTTTCATTTATTTAACCAATCTGCCATTGTCTCCCTCACAATACTGAACGTTGCCGGAGAATGTACATATCTCTCAATGTATTGATTTCTGACTGATGTTTATACTGGAAAAAATTATTCTGTTTACATCCACAATATTCAATACAACTTTTTTTTTAATGACACAGGAAAAGTTTCAAGTTACATTCCAAATGCAATTAGTAGAACATCAGAGTCGTGTAAATATTTTGACAAGTGCATAGATTGGTGCCCTAAGCAAGGGGCACAGTGGGCACATCCCACCTTCATTGCTAACTGCATGGTAAGGGTCTGATGAATCCATTTCCCACCTGGATCCAGTCCCCACCTTCCCACATCTCTTTCTTCTTCAGCCCCGCACAGCATATTCTTTCTCCAACCTTAGCCACCCAGAGCTGGATTGGAGCTCACAAATTAGAAGGACTTTATCCTTCAGGTTGGCTGCCCATGCAGTCCTTCTCTGACCTAGGCACCCCGAGCTAAGTCAAAGCACACAAGTTAGAGGGACTCTGTCCTTCAGACTGCCACATAGGCAGATGCTAGCCCTTGCTGGCTCTCCTTGCCCTTGTGCATTTGTTAATTCACTGGAATGGCTCACAGAATTCACAGAGATTGTCTATACTTACAGTCACCCAATTATTATAACCAGAAAGGATACAAGTGAAGAGACACACAGGATGAGGTCTGGGAGGAGTCCTGGCACAAGACTTCCACTGTCCCCACGGACGTGCCACCCTCCTGAGAGCATTGCTCTCACCAATCCTAGAAGCCCTCGAAACTTCCGCCCTCAGAGCCTTTTATTGGCTTCACTGCATAGCATGATTGATTGAATCATTGAATATACATGATTGGATTATGCACCCCTCCCTTCCTAAGGTTAGATAACGAGGTGGGTCTGAGTAGCCCCCACTCATTTGCACACATTTGAGTTTGCCTAATTGTTTTAGAAGATAAAGACCCCTTCACTGTTGGGGAATTCCAAGGGCTATCTCACAGGAACCAAAGATAAATGTTCTTTATATCACAATTGGCATGTCAGCAAAAGAGGTGTTCAGATGTTGATGGCCTAAGAGGGCCCATATCACTGCACACAAAGCAACTATTTGTTAATAACCGTATTGATTGCTTGGTGATCAGGAAGAGAAATTTTTATCTAAGAAATTTTTACCCTAATAGTTTGTTACATATGAGTGTCTTCATTGTGTTTTAGTTATATCTTAGGAATTTAATGGAAGTTCGGTGTTGAAATGTGATGCAGTATATTTTTCACATTTAAAATATTTAGGGAAAGGCACCTGGTTAGGGTTGTTAAAAATAAAATTTCCATAAGATTAAATTTGTGTATGAACTCATAAGCTTTATTTGCAATCGTGAATTGAGAAGTGTCTGGTCTGGAAGTCCGACAAGAGCTTCAAAGAGGTGCAAAGCAGAAGGGTTTTATAGGCATAGACTGTTTTAGATGTCTAATGCTGCTGTAACAGAATTATCACAAGTGGGTGTCTTTAAGAAGCAGAAATTTATTCTCTCTCAGTTTAGGAGGCTAGAAGTTGGAATTCAGGGTGCCGGCTCTAGAGAGAGGCTTTCTCTCTGGCGGCTCTGGACGAAGGTCCTGTCTCTTTTGAGTTTCTACTCCTGGACAATCTTCATGTGGCTTGGCATCGCTCTTCCTTTATCTTTGCCTTTGTCCCTCGTTTGTTTGATCTCCTTTATATCTCCAAAGAGATTGACTCCAAACACACTTTACAGTAATCTGGCCTCATTAACATAACAAAGACAATTTATTCCCAAATGGGATTATAACCACAGGCACAGAGGTTAGGATTTACAACACATATTTTTGGGGGGCACAATTCAATCCATAACATTCCACCTTTTGCCCCCCCAAATTCATGTCCTTGTCACATGCAAAACGCATTCACCCCATCAGATCACCCCAAAAGTCTTAAATCAACTCCAAGTCCAAAACCTCATCTTCTGAATCGTCTCAATCAAATACGGGTGAGACTTCAGGCGTATTCGATCCTGGGGCAAAATTCCTCTTCATCTGGGAACCTGTGAAATCTAGAAGACAAGTTATCTGTTTCCAAAGTACAATGGCAGAACAGGCACAGGGTAGACTTTTCTATTACAAATGGGAGTAATTGGAGGGAAAGAAGGGTTAACAGTTACCAAACAAGCCCAAAACTCAGCAAAACGAATTACATTAGCTTGCAAGGCTTAAAAATAATCCTCTCTGAAACCATCTGGGCAATGGCCCCACCCTCCAGATTCTGGGTGTTGGCCATGCCCCCTGGATTCTGGGTGGAGACCCCTCAGCCCTGGCCTTCAACTCCGCCTTCCAGGCCCTCTGAGATGGCAACTCTGCTCCCTCTGCTTTAGGCGGCTCCATTCTCTTAGTCTATCTTAGTGGGGAACCCCACCCCCTCAGCCGCATTCTTCTGCCCCTTGGACATGGCATTCCCCGCCCCCTTAGCTTTGGGCAGTGGCCCCATCCCCCTGGCACACCTTAACCCCACACTCCAGAACCAAGTTGGTGAAGATTCAACCCTTTGAAACCTAGGAGGCTGTGGCCCCACCCTTTAAGATCCAGGAGACCATGTCCCCACACTTTGAAACCGAGAAGACCCTGCTTCCCATGCTTCTTCCAACAGTTCTGCTGATCTCCGAGCTGCTCCAGGGATGGTCCTTTTCTTTTCTTGGAAGACAACAGATGTAGCTCCTTTGGCCCATTTCCTGCCTATAGAATTCCAAGAGGCAGACAGCGTTCTTTCTTTCTCTGTCCCCTTCTGTCTAAGCTGATGGGTTTTCTGCTGTGGCAGTTGGTTAGATCCATCAGTCACAGGCTTGATCGCTTTAACAAAAGACTGTGTAGCCACATCCTTGGTGAACATTCGTAATTTGTCCAACAGAATTTTCCAAATCTTCAAGTTCTGTTTTTATTTTGCACAGTTCATTTTTAAGTCTATCTCTTTCCTCTCGTGTTTTACTGTAAGCGGCAAGGAGAAACTACACGGCCCCTTTCAGAGCTTGCTTAGAAATCTCCTAGGCCAGCTATCCAAGTTTATCACTTACAAGTTCTACCTTCCACCAGACATTTTAAAATAATTCAGGCAAGTTCTTTGCCACTGCATAAAAAGCATCGCCTTTCCTCTGTTGTCCAATCACATGGTCATCATTTTCTCTTAAAGCTTCACCAGAAGCAGTTTGACATCCACGTGTCTAGCAGCGTTCTGTTGATGGTGCAGATGTACTGTCTAAGATGACAGAGACTTTCCCTATGGCTCTCCTCACTTCCTTCTGAGCCCTCACCAGAACTGCCTTTGACATCCATAATGCTACCAACAGTCTCTTCAAGGCAATCTAGGCTCTTACTATTAGGCACCTTAAAACTCTTCCAGCCTCCAGCCATAACCCAATTCCAAAACCACTTCCACATTGTAAGTATTTGTTAGAGCGGCAGCCCACTCTTCTGGTACCAGATTCTATCTTATTTATCTAGTGCTGCTATAACGAATACCACAAGTGGGTGGCTTTAACAAACAGAAATTTATTTTATCACAGTTTAGGAGGCTAGAAGTCCGAATTTGGGACTTCCCAAAAGAGATTGTTAACTCAAGACACATCCTACACTAATCCTGCCTCATTAACATAACAAAGACAGCCCATTCTGAAATAGGATTATAACCACAGGCATAGAGGTTAGGATTTACAACACATTTTTGGAGGACACAATTCAATCTGTAACACAGACACCCAAGAACAAGGAAACTACACTGGACAATTCCAGACTGACTGGCAGGCACCTTCTTTCCTTGTTTGGGATTAAGGGGAAGTTTTGAACTCGGTTAAACTGAGCAGGTAAATCCTAATCAGTTAGTTTAGGTGTCTGCTTCTGGGAGGGTCAGGCATTTACAGGAAATAGATTTAGTTAGGTTTGGTTTGCTGACGTGGAGCTTAGCATAAGTGACTCTATCTTGGGCCTAGTATAGTCAGGTTAACAGGGTTTTTACTCAGACTGATTGTTCAGCAATGAATTACTGAAGTTAAGGAGGAGATACCTGTATGTGTCTAGTTCCCATGACTTGGCCAACTTCCTCGGTCTCTCAGCCCAGGCCATGTGAGATGTAGGACCCAGGGCCTCTAAAGGATAAGAATGTCAAGTCAGAGATAGGAAAAATTCAGGAATGTAGCTTTAAACTTTACCGGGTGGTATGTAGATGGCTAAACTTTGCTCAGAAGGATTTGTACAAAGATTTGATGTTTGAGATCTAAAGAGGAGTTTCATTTTGCTGATCAACTTGCCCCATAGCTCATAATCTGCCTTTTAGGGTCTTTTGTTTCACACTGTGGGTTTGTGAAAAATCCCATTGAAATTTATAGCCTTGGAAATGGACAAGTCTGCTATGTCATTTCTGAAACTTCCTTTTTTTTTTTGCCTGTATTGCCCTTTTTTGTTTTGACCAAGGCCCTGAGACTGAATTTGTATTTTATATAGTCATAGCCTAGCCGAATTAGTGTACTAGGTAGGGCAGGTAGGATTGCTGCTGTGGCAGCAGACAACCCCCAAATCTCAGTGGCTTACCAAACGTTTTATTTCATGCTCATGCTGCATGTCCACGTGAATCAGCATAGGTGGAGTCCCAGACCAGAGGAGGCCCCCGATCCTAAAGGTATACTGTCTGAAATGCACAGCTTTCTAGATGACCACATCCAGGAAGAGGAGATGGGGGAATTGTACACAGTCTCTCCAGTGCCTCAGACCGAAATCACGTCAGTTCTGTTCATATTTCTTTGGCCAGAACCAGTCTGTGGCCCTGCCTAACTGCAAAACCAAAAACATCAAACCCGTTGCCGTGGAGTCGATTCCAACTCAAAAGGACCCTATAGGACAGAGTAAAACTGCCGCATAGGGTTTCCAAGGAGCGGCTGGTGGATTTGAACTGCCAACCTTTTGGTTAGCAGCTGACCTCTTAACCACTGCGCCACCAGGGCTCCCTCTGCCTAATTGCAAGGGGTTAGAAATGTCATTTTCCATGTGCCCAGAAGGCAAGGAAAACGAGGTGGGGGTGGAACATTCACAAGGCCTGCCACCCTGGGTAAGACCCATTTCTCTCTTTTTCTGTGTCTAGGAGGTTGTCTCCAGACTAGGTGTGAGTTCTTTTTGGAGCAAGGAGGACATCCCTGGGCAGTGGAGAGGCCTGTGCGCAGGTGAGTGAGGAGACTCAGGAAGGGGAAGCCTTTGGTGTGGAAGCTCACCTCCTCCTCCGCAGGACGTCAGGAGCTTTGAGCTGTCCTTTCAGACTTGTCCTTTCAGGGCTCGAGGGCCACCGAGAACATCAGGCTCCTTCAGCATGTAAGTTCCCAAGGCCCCTCACAGTCACTCACGAATCACTCCATTTGTATCTCTTCATAGTCTACCCCCCACCTGTGAGGAGGGATTCATTATATTAATTTTTATGGTTATAAGATATATGCTTATGGCAAAAACTAATACAGAAAAACACGTAGATCCCCAGAATTATATCTCCTTGAGACAGATTCTATGAACATTTAGTTGGAAATCCTTCAGTCTGTCTTCTATGAGTACACATACATACACACATATGTACCAGTATATATGTGTATGTATATTTTTCTTACAAAAATAGGATTATACTACACATACTATTTTGTAACCTACCTTCTTCATCCAGCATTGGTTACTGAACATCTTTCCATCCACCAATAAAGATCTGTATCGTTCTTTTATGCCAACATTGTTTCCATTCTGCGGATACACTTTATTTAATCAATCCTTTTTTGAAGGATATTTAAGTTCTTTCCAGACTTCTTCCGTTGTCAACAGTGTCTCCGTTGATACATCCCACCCATCTTTTGGATAGCGTCTCGGATACGGAATTGCTTGGTCGGAGGGCGCGCATGGTTTAACGCCTGCTGCACTGCGCGACGGGAGTATACAGCAGTTGTAGCCTGCTGGGCCTCCCACGTCATTTCCTGTCGTCCTGCTAACATGGACTATCACCAGTCCTTTCGCTCTTTGCCAGACTGACAGCTATAAAATGCTATTTCCTGGTTGTTTCCACATGCGTCCTCTTCTCTACCAGTGAGGCTTAAAACACTTCTGTTAAGTGATGGGCCATTTTATCATTTAGTGAATTGGCCATTGTAGACATTGCTCGTTTTTTCTAAAACTGTTGCTTTTTATTCCAAAAATTTATCTTTAAAAGCACTGTCCATCGTTGTTGTTTATCTGACTTATGAGTTAAACAGCTATTTCTTTTCATGTTATCATTTGCCTTTTTCCCCATTTCTTTTTTAACACATTTTATTCTTTAGACCAGTTTTAGGTTTACAGAAAATGGCGCAGAAAGTTGAGAGTGTTCCCATATTCCCTCTCCCATCTGCACACGGTTTCTGCCATTATTACCGTCTTGGCTTAGCATGGGACCTTTTTTACAAGTGATGAACCAGTATTAATACATTAGGTTTGCTCTTTGTGCCTTTTCTTTTTGATTTTGGTATTTTCAGGTAGAATTTTTCTTATCTTCTCAAATATATCAATTTTTTATTTGTATTTTTCTGCCTTTTGTGTCATATGCCCCCCAAATAGAAATATGTTTATATTTGTCTGAAATATGTCTATGTTTATTTAGCTTTTTTATATTAAATACCTTATCCACTTGGAATTTCTTTTTGTCTTATGATATAGCCACAGAAAATAGGCAGAGAAATTTCTACTTTGGTAAAATTTTAAGGTTTTTGTTGTGATCTTATACCTACATAAGTTTATTCAAGCAGTGTTTGAGTGCCTCCCATGCACTATTGTATGTCCTGAGGAAATAATGATAAACAAAACCAACAAAGATCCCTCCGTTCATAGATCCTAAAGTTTAGTGGAAGAGTCAAATCATTGACAAGCAAATATATAATATATTGTCCAGAGAGCTCTAAGAAAAAACAGAGCAGGGAAGGGGAGAGAGAGCGGTAAGGGGTGAGATTGTAGATGGTTTGGGCACAGAGGTGAAGCTTAAGCAGAGACCTTGATGAAGGCAGAAAGCAAGCTCTGTGACTCTCCGGAGGAAGGAGCATTCCAGGTAGAATGGACAAAGACCCCAAGTGGGAACAAACCTGGTATGACACAGTGAATTCCAAATAGTCCACAGACATTTAAGAGTAGTGAATATCATACTTGAAGTAAAAATTACAGAATTGTCACCAGGTTGTATCCAGATGTGGCTCTGTATGAATTTTTACAAGCTCTCGGGTTGCTTTCAATTTGAAAATTCAAGTGTTTCCTCTCCTTGGGTATATATTCTTCCATTCATCTCTTCTCCTCCAGCTGTTCTGCTCTGTTCTCCACTTTTATACATGTATCAGGTCTTCTGGATTTCTTTTTTATGTCTCTGATCTTTATTTTCAGAATCCATTTCTGTATCTTTTTCCTCTGAATTCTGAGAAGTTCTCCCAGGCTTTTCCCCTGATTCCATCACATCCAGTAATAGAAGAAACTGTTGCTTATCTGAGCTGTCTCCTGTGACAAAGCGCTTGCAAAAGGCCCCCGTTTCCATCTCCCGTGGATCTCTCAATCCCTCACTTGCTCCCTTTCTGCCCTGGGATGTATGACCCATTCCCTCATTGAAGGCAGTAACCACAGAAGGCAGTCCTTTGATGGGAATGTCCGTCAGCAGGAAAACAGAACACTCGGGCCCTTATCCCATCTGTTATTTACTAACGACATGACCTTGAGTGAATCTCATAACCTCTCAGGCATTTTAGCTCCTTCTCTGTAGAAAGTGAGAAATGAAATCAACTTCATTTAACCTACAGGGTGGTTGTCAAGATAAAACTAAACGAAAAGTGTGTGTGAATAGCACCACCCCACCTCACCCTAGAACCTCACAGATCATTCCTTTACCCATTTCAGGAATGTGCCTTTCCTAGGCATGAACTACCTGTATCTTCTGTACTTCAGCCCCCAAAACTTGGGTGCTGGTTCCCATGTCCTCTCTCCTACTCAAGATCATTCCTCCGGCAATTGTCTCCTCCATCCCTGCCTTGTTAATTTCTGGCTACTGGATTATCCCGTCAGTATAAAACTTACTGTAATCTCTCCCTTCATCAAAAAATCCCCGCCTGGACCCTGTATCCACCTCTAGCTCCATTTCTGTTTTTTGTTTGCTTTTTCCAGGAAAAGTCCTTAAAGGGTTGGCTCTTTGTCCCTACTTCCTTTCCTTCTGTTCTCTGTTGAACTCACCCCAGTCAAGCTTGGTGCGCTCCACTCCAAAGAATCAGCTTTTGTCGAGACTCCTGATCTCTGCAGTGCCATATCCAACGGACGGTTCTCATTCCTCGTCTCACTTAGTGTGTTAGTAGCAGCTGGCATTCTCACCTTCCTTCTCGGTACACTTTCTTCACTGGGCTCCCCAGATCCCACTGTCTCTTAGTTTTTCCTTCTACCCACTGGTGACTCCTTTCCATGCCTCTTTGTTCACTCCTCTTCCTCACTCACTCTGTGAGTGATCTCATCTCATCTCAAGACTTTCAATACTAACATCCATAGGCCAGTTTTATATTTCTAGATTAGGACTTTCTCCCTAAATCAGAATCAAATGTCTAACTAGATGCTTGACATCCCCACTTGGATATATGTAATAATGGCATGGGGGTGGCATCTGACCTTCCCTAACTTCCCAAGGGGGAAGGAAAATCCAGATCAACAGCCCAAGGCTGATTCCTGTGAGGCCGAGGTCAGACATGCCTCCTCTCTCCACCATCTTTACCAATTCTGACACTAGCCATCCCTCCCACGGCACTCTCTACTCCTCTGCTGGGTTTGATAATTCATTGCAATGGCCACACAGAACTCACAGACCATGCTCACAGTTATGGGGTTTATTAGGGAAGTAACAGGTTACAGTTCAGGTTCAGGAATGCTCAGGATACAGTTCTTCTACCTGGACAGCCTCTTCTCAGCCGTGCCTACAGGCAGGCTTCTCTGGCCCTCGGCCCCTCGACCTGGCCTCTGCTCTGCATGGGCAAGTGTTACAAAGCTCTTTTAGCTCCACCTGTAAGTGGCTGGAGGCACCCTACTCTACCAGTAAGCCGTGGCCCAAAGGCACTCAGCTCTGTGCAAACTTAACTCTTCCCAGTGCCAGGGGGCACCCTACTCACCAGCAAGCCTCCTGCCTGAAGGTGCTCCGCTTTCTTGTTCTGTGGGCCGGGAAGCCCACTGCACCGTCTCCTGCTGGTCTCTCGCCTCTGCTGCCACCGTTTCTCCACCGCTGCTTTTAGCTGTCTTAAGTGTTACAACTCTCTCAGTCTCCTGGTTCCAGGAGCTTCTCAGCACAGGGATCCCAGGTCCAAAGGATGTGCTTCAGTCCTCGCTCTTCATTCGGTGGTGGCGAGATCCTTCCTTCCTACTTCTGTGGTGGCTCGTTTTAAGCCTAACAGAGAACCCACAGGTCTCCTTGCTCCTCCCCCCACCCCTACCCTACAGTCTCTTCTCCATGAATGATCCTTTTAAATGTAAATCACATTATGCCATTCCTTGGCTTAAACTAGTCTAGTGGCTTCCTGGCTTACTCATGAGTAAAAACCAAGCTTTTTCCAGTAGCCTATAAGCCCCATGTGATCTGGCTTCCAGCTACTTTTCTGAGCTCATGTCTGACCCCTCTTCTCTCACGCACTCCACTCCAGCCCCTCTGATCTCCTTCCTCTTTGTTGATCAAGGTGAGCCTTGAGGCTGAGCCCTGGTGGCACAGTGGTTAAGAGCTCAGGCTGCTGACCAAAAGGTCAGCAGTTTGAATCCACCAGCCGCTCCTTGGAAACCCTATGGGGCAGTTCTACTCTGTCTTGTAGGCTTGCTATGAGTCAAAATCGACTCCAAGGCAACAGGTTTTCTGCTGGGAATAGCCTTCCCACAGATACCTGCATGGCTCCCTCACCCCATTCAGGCCGTTCTTACATATCACCTTCTCAGTGAAGCCCTCTGGGGCCACCTGTAAGTCCTCCAAAGCTCCCTGCTTTATTTTCTCTGTAGAGCTTTTAGCACCTGCCATATAAAGAGGAGTATCAGTACCAGTATATCAAGATTGGTCTATTGTCTCTCTCCACTAGAATGAGAGCCACTGGACAGGGACCTGATTCATCATCTTCCTCACACCTGGAGCCATGCCAGCAGAGGTGGAAGCTCAATAAATACGGAAGAATCCCTAACTCCTCTCTATCTCTCTGCCTTCATAGCTAGTCAAATGCCAAAGCCTGTTGATTTCACTTCTTGTCTATACCTCCAGTTCACCCCCTTCCTCTTTGTTCCCACTGCCATTGTCCTGGGCCAGATCCTCTTTATTTGCTTGTAAAATACAAACACCTCCCAGCTGCTCTCCCTGGCTCTAATTTCACTCCTCTGTAGTGAAATCATCTGGCATATCACTTGCCTTTTTGAATTCTTCAGTAGCTTTCCATTCATTGCTGGATGAAAACCAAACTTCTAACTATTCGGTCAGTATTTATTGATCCCCTATGTCCTAGGGTTACGGTGACGGGTGAGATCCATTGGTCCTTGCCCTGGTCGTTACTTCATTCATACACATTCATTTCCCAGCCCCCCGATGTCATTGTGAGCATTATCTGCTTCCAGATTCTGGAGCTATTTAAATTGAAATGGAGATTAATTAAAATGAAGTAAAATTTAACAGTTCAGTTTCTCAGTCACACTAGCCACGTTTCAAATACTCAGGAGCCACATATTGTTGTTTAGGAGTGGCGTCCCGTGGTGGTGTAGATGGTTAATGTGCTCAGCGCTAACTGTAAGATTGTTGGTTCGAGGCCACCCAGACGCACCTCCGAAAAAAACCCTGGTGATCCGTTTCTCAGAAGTCAGCCATTGAAAACACTATGGAGCACAGTTCCACTCGGACACAGGTGGGGTCACCGCGAGTCAGAATCAACTCGGAGGAGGCGACTGATTGGGTTTTGGTTGGTGTTTAGGAGTGGCGAGGCACGCTCAGTTCCTCAGAGGTCTGCCTCCCCTCTCCCACTCTGCTTTTTCAGGACTCTGCACTTGTCTAAGATAAGAATCCAGAGACAGTGGATCAGGTCAGGCCATTCCAAAAGCCATGGCCCAGGTAAGTTCCAATTTCCTCTATCCTTCAAATAATCCTTTTTCCCTCCAAATCTTGTGAACATTTGTGTTCTCTGTCCTGAAATGCCCCTGTCTGGCTGAGCCTCGTTCAGTAACCTGCGCCCAGTTCCTCCATTCCAGGGAGTGAGCAGTGGTGCAC